GAACATAGGACTTCCGGCACATAGCTTATGCTCATAACACTGATTCTATACCTGCTGTCCTGTTGTTCCACACTATACCAGTCATTCTTTCACATGACCATACAGAAAAGGAAGCTGTGACAGGGACATCCACATCGGTCTTTTTGCAGTGCTTATATTTCTTACTGTTTTATTTATCTGCTATTATTTCCTGCAGCAGAATGGTATGGATTACACTTTTGATTCTACCATGTTTTAAGATTAAAAATGCCAAGTACCAATGTGACCTTAAAACCATGCTTTCTAGCAATTAAACTCTTCTCCTAATCCCAGACATGCAGTATGCACATGTGTTCATGGGACATCTTCCCCACAACAAAAGGCTAAATCATTTGGAGACTACTAAACAATGTGAGGGAGGGCTGTAAAATGGTGTGCAGAGATTCCATGCATGTGCAAGATGGAGATTTGTCTCTCTTTCTCATTATATTAGAACTGTATTACATCTGTATGCACAGTATTACATCTGGGCCACAAAAATATCAAGCACAAATACTGGATGGGGGATATGTTTCTGGGGAGTAGTGTATGCAAAAGAGAATTTGGGGTTAGGGTGGACTGTAAACTAAATATGAGCAGTCAGTGTGATGCAGTGGCAAAAAAGGCAAATTCAGTCTTGTGTTGTATTAAAAGAGCCATAGCATCAAAATAGCAGAAGGTCATAGCTCCTCTGTATACTGCCTTGGTCAGGCTACACCTGGAGTACTGTGTGCAGTTCTGGAGGCCTCACTTCAAAAAGGATGTGGACAAAATCGAGAGAGTGCAGAAGAGAGCGACGAGGGTGATCAGGGGTCTGGAGACTGAGCCCTACAAGGAAAGGCTAAGGGCCTTGGGAATGTTTAGTTTGGAGGAGACTGAGGGGGGACATGATTGCTCTCTTTAAATATTTGAAAGGCTGTCATTTGGAGGAGGGCGAGGAGCTGTTTCAGTTGGCGGCAGAGGATAGGATGCGAAGCAACGTGTTTAAATACATGCAGAAAGGTATCGGCTGGATATTAGGAAAAACTTTTTCACGGTCAGACTGGTTCAAAGGTGGAATCAGCTGCCTAGGGAGGTGGTAAGCTCCCCTTCAGTGACAGCTTTCAAGAAGAGGCTGGACGAATATTTGTCAGAGATGCTTTAGGCTGGTCCTGCATTGGGCAGGGGGTTGGACTAGATGGTCTGTATGGCCCCTTCCAAATCTATGATTCTATTCTATGAACTGGAGAACAAGTGGGCAGTGCAGAGTGGGGTGGGAATATCCAATGACATTGATTGGTAGTAGGACAGGATGAAAAAATACATATTTACTTGACCCCTAATTGACGTATGGAATGTATTGCCACATGATGTGGTGGTGTTGATGGCTACTTGGCTTCAGTCTGAACTGAAGGTGGTGGAAAGTGCCATCAACTCACAACTGACTTATGGCGACCCCAGAAGTTTTGCAAAAGAAAGCCAAACAGAGGTGGTTTGCCATTGCCTGACTCTGGGTAGCAACCCTGGACTTCCTTGGTGGCCTCCCATCCAACTACTAACCAGGGTCACCCCTGCTTAACTTCCAAGATCTAATGAGATCAGGCCAGCCTGGACTATCTAGGTCAAGGTAGATCTGAATTAGACAGCACTTTTTAAACAACTTGGGTTCGGGGACCCTTGACTCCGTTTCCCTGCAGATTTGGATTGGGGCCATGTCTCAGGGAGGAAGGGGCTTCACTAGATATTGCACATGCAGCTCCAGAGTGGGCCAAATAACACCCTCAAGGCTATTTCAGATCAGGAAAATGGTATAGGAAGTGGGTGAAGTGGGGAACCTGGACCCCACTTATTTATTTTTTTGAAACATAACATCTAGCTTGAACCTCAAATGGCTTTAAAAGGCGATGATACAAATTCATGGAAGAAAGGCCATGAACCACAATGACAGCAAAACTGGACCTTGAGGATATTTGGGAGGTAACAGGACAAATAGCAGGTGAAGACTTCACACGCTGCCTTTAGGCTTTCCAAGGGCATCTCTGTTGATTTAGATGGATTTAGCATGCCTCTTCTTATTTGTTTTTAAGTATAGCTCCACATGTTCCAGAACTCAGCCCTGAAGCATAGGTAGATTTGTAAATTTAAGAAGCCATTATTACTTTTTTGAATCTTGGCCTTCATGTGGCTACTTTCATCTGTGGGCAGATATTATTTATTTATTTATTTATTTATTTGGATTTCTATTCTGCCCTTCCCGCCCCCGCAGGCTCAGGGGAGATAGCAGATGCCATTTGCACTTCTGTGAATTAATTGAATTTCTCTGTGGGATTCTTTCAATTGTGGTCATGTGAAAAGAATATATACAATTTTGTGTATGGTGGGCGACCAAAGGGAAGCCATTTGGATTTTATTGGGGGGGGGTTGCACCTGTTTTTAGTGGGATTCCTCTACTCCTACAGACCCTGGTTCCTTTCAAAATTTCTAGTCTCTTTCTGAACGTGTTCCAAAGAAATTTCATCTAAGGTACTATAATATTTGATATTTCTTTAAAATGTATTTGCAAGAATTTATAATAATCCCTAGCATTGATGTAGCACTTTGCCTATTTTGTATCAATAATCCTTACAGTATTCCCATAAGGTAGGCCAGTAGTACTATTAAGGGCAGTGTGTCTGACAGTGGCTTGATTAATGAGTTCACAGATAGGCTAGCCAGATCTCATCAGATATCAGAAGCTAAACAGAGTTGGCCCTGGTTTGTGTTTGGATGGGTGACCAACCAAAGAATACCAGGGTCACTATAGGGAGGGAGGGAGGGAGGCAATGGGGGAGGGGAGAGTTCATGGCTGAAGAGAAAATTAAACGTGTGACTTTGTTCCTATAATACTACACATCATACGATATGAGGGGTCTGGAGACCAAGTTCCATGAGGAAAGGTTGAAGGAGCTTGATATGTATAGCCTAGAGATGACTAAGAGGTGATATGATAACCATCTTCAAGTACTTGAACGGCTGTCATGTAGAGGATGGTGTGGAGTTGTTTTCAGTTGCCCCAGAAGGCTGGACCAGAACCAACAGGTTGAAATTAAATCAAAACAGTTTTCAGCTAAATATTAGGAAGAACTTCCTGACAGTTTGAGCGGTTCCTCAGTGGAACAGGCTTCCTTGGGAGGTGGTGGGCTCTCCTTCTTTGGAGGTTTTCAAACAGAGGCTAAATGACCATCTGACAGCAATGCTGATTCTGTGAATTTAGGTAGGTCATGAGAGGGAGGGCAGGGAGGGTTGCCTCAGTGCTTAGTACTTGTGGCCCTTCCTTGCATGCCCAGGGAAATGCTGATCACCACTTTGGGGTTAAGATGCAATGTTTTCCAGGCCAGTTTGGCCACGGATCCTGGAGGGTTTTTTTTTTTTTTGCTATCTTCTGGGGTTGTTACTGGTGGTGTGTGTGTGTGTGGAGGAGGGTAGGCAGTTGTGAATTCCCTGCATAGTGCAGGGGGTTGGACTAGATGGCCCTGGAGGTTCTTTCCAACTCTGTTTCTGTGATTCGATATCACATCACACCACCCTTGGCCTGCTCGGTAATCTGACATCAGCCATTTACTTGTGGAATGAACCGTTGCCACACCACATCACTTTTCTTATCTCCTGAAATGCAATGGCGGCATACTGTAGCTTGGGGAGTGGATCCTACCCCTATCCTCTTACTCCATCAAACAAAGTTTATTCATTCATTTATTTAAACATTTATATCTCTCTGTTCCTTTTGGCTCACCCTCCTTCCAGCCTAGCCTACCTCACAGGGTTGTTATTGTGAGAATAAAACAGAGGTGGGAAGACCTATGTTGTAAGCTGCTTTGAGTCCACTTAAGGAAGAAAAGGGAGAGACCACCAAGAAAGACTCTGCAAAGGAAGGCAATAGCAAGCCCCCTCTGCTTCTCACTTTCCTTGAAAGCCCCTTCCTGAGTTTGTTGTAAGTCTGCTGTGACTTGACTATACTTTACAGGTGCGCGTACACACACACACACACACACACAGAAAGAGAGAGAGAGAGAGAGGGGGGGAACTATCTATAAAAACACTTTGCAAGGGAGTTTGTTCACCCACTCAGCTAGCAGTAATCAGGCAGAAAAATCAAGGGACCTCTTTGTATCTATGCATACCTACAGGTGTGTGTGTGTGTGTGTGTGAAAGATATGCATGTGCGAACCCCAGAATGTACAATGCCTGTGTTGTATGTGAGACAATCTCTATGTGTTACAAAGAGGAGCTGATGCTCCCTCGAATGTCTATGGGGCTGTGGTCAGCCTAACCTCCCCCCACCCCACACACTTCAGGGATTTCCCTCCTTTGTGCTGTGTGAAGGAGAGGTGTCGAAGGCACGGGGGGGGGGGGGGGGGGGGGGGGGAGAGAGAAAAATCTACACCGCCGTTGCCGTCGGTGTGTGCGCTGTGTGCCTGCTGAGGGGACGCCAGGGCGGGAAGGGAAGGGAAGAAGGGAGGGCGGGCGGTTGGAGCAGGAAGGCGGGAGGAATAGCGCATGTCTTCATTTCTGAGCGCAGCCACTAGACTCCTCTCTCGCCAGCACCACCAAACTCTCCACCATCTTTTGCATGTGAAACATTTTGCTGCCGGACAGAAAGCTCTGCCAGGGCTATGGAGACTGCGGGAAAAATCCGCCTCAGCAGGATGGCTTGCTGAGGGGAAGGAAAGGAAGGCGGGAGGGGGGGAAAAGAGAGAGAGAGAGAGAAATAAATAAAAGAGGGAGAAAAGAAGAAAGGGGGGGAGAAAGGGAAGGCAGGGGGAGCGCAACCCACCCTCTTCTCTTTTCTTCCCTGCCCCATTTTAATTTTTCCCCCTTCCTCCCCTTCCCCCCCTCAATTTCGGGTCCGGCGCCCCCCCCCTTCTCCCTCCCCCCCTCACCACCACCTCCTCCACGTCCTCAATGCCTCTCTGAACAACACCTGGGGAGGAGAGAGCGTGAGGAGGAGAGACCCGGGGAGGCAAAAGAGAAAGAAGAAGATGAGGATTATTTGCAGACAGCTTCTCTTGTTGTTTTCTGGCTTTTGGGGACTCGCAATGGGCGCTTTTCCTAGCAGCGTGCAAATAGGTAAGCGCTGCATTGGGCTGGCGGCGGGAGGGGGGAGAAGAGGGAGGAGGGAGGTCAAACCGGGACAGAGGGATTTTAGGTTTAGGGAGTCCCTGCCATACCCCTTTCCCGCCACCTTCTGTGGGGATAGGCAGGGCTGGGGAGAGACGACAGCTCCTCCAGTGGTCCGCAGGGCAGCGGGATATGGCGGTGTGTTATGTCTCTCTCTGTGGTGTGTTGTGTCTAGTGTGGTGGCAAACTTGGGAAGCTGCCCTCCCTCTGTGAACTGCATCTCTTCTGAAGGATGCTCCGGGAGCCCCCCGTTTAGCACAGCTTGCACGTTGCAGTAGCCTATTCGCCGTGGGGCGGGGGGGGGGGGAGTCGCCTGTGCTGCTGCTGCTTTATAGCCTCGCCTGTCACTACTTTGAAACTTGGGCATTTTTTTTCACGGTCTGCCTCTCTTCCCCCTTCCCTTGAAGGCTTGGTGTCTCCCCCTTTGCCCCCTTTCCCTGCTTGCCTTCCGCTTCTCCCGCTCTGGATGGGACGCAGTTCTTGAATTACTTCCAGCTCCACCACTGCATCATTTCTCATGCACTCCTAAAGATGTTTCTTAATAAGGCTGAGCTTTCCCCCCCTTGCCTATCTGCTTATGGGCTGCAGAGGGACAAAGTTCAATTGTGTTCTTGGTTGATTTATTCTCCCCTTCCTGTATATAGGTGGATGCACAGACAGGAAAAGGGGGAAAGTAAGAGAGTATGGATGATGTGGTCTCTGTACCTTATTCGTGTGTTTCCACAGAGAGCACCCATTCTCTTTAATCTACCCGCCACTTAATAAAGGGGGGGGGATTTAACAGTGGTCCTTGTTACAGAGACAGAAGCAAAATGGTTTCAAAGGTCACTCTCCTCAAAGCAGATCTAGCAACATAAGGGGGGGGGGAAGCAGAAAATAGGACAGCTTGAAAGCCTCACTTTTTGCAGCAACTGTGAGTCTAAAAGTGTCACAAGCCCCCCTTTCTGCGGGTACATAACTGAGTAATTGTTATTAAGGGAATGCTAAGAAAGCTGTTTGCACTACTCCAGTGGCTGGGTGTAGAAATAATCAATGGTGACCATCTTTCTCTTCCGCTATTGCTTATTTATTTGTAGGTGGCCTCTTCATCAGAAACACAGATCAGGAATATACTGCTTTTCGACTAGCAATTTTTCTTCACAACACCAGCCCCAATGCATCTGAAGCACCTTTTAATTTGGTTCCTCATGTAGACAACATTGAAACAGCAAACAGCTTCGCTGTAACAAATGCCTGTAAGTAAGAAACAACAAAAATGTAACATATCTGAAGTTATGATCAAATGATAAGTGAGATTAAGCTGAAAATGTATTGTTGCATTCCTTCAGAAAATTGATTTCAACTATTTAAGTCTCCATGCTTTGAACGTAGCCCTAGTTAGTTTCTTTCCTTGGTATAATCCCTTAGGCTGTCTTGTAATGACTAACTGGATATGGCATTTACTTTAGTGTTATTACAGTAGTTTCTTGCTTCCTGGTTTCTATGGAGATGCATTTTGTAGTTGGGCGGGGGGGGGAAATATGAATGTCTTGATCAAGTGAGCAGCCCTCACAATACCTCCTGTTTGCCAACAGGATATGGCATGCCTTGTCTGTGTTTGGAAAGATCCCCTTGTATTTGCAGTCACAAGTGCTTTCTAATGGCTAGAGCAGAAAAAGAGGCTTTCAAAGCTGTGGTGTGCGGGATAATATATTGGCGTGGCTTGACACTGCAGTTGATCTGGTGATGTCACTTGAGGCTGCCCTGCTCCTATATTCCGGGTTGTAAATGTCTGTTATCATCTCGTAATGCATACATTCTGTGGAAATGTCTCCATGCATCCATACATTGGTGCCAAGTCAAGTTAGTATCTGATCTGCTTGATTGCACGTACCACCCCAACTGGAACAGCGTACAGACCAGTGTGTGTACACATTCATTTAAAAAAAAGGATGCTCTGTCTCAAAACGTTGGCCCTGATTTCTTTTAAAGGAGAGAATCCATCTGATCATCCAGTTTTTGCGACATCCCAGCCTGCCAAAACACTAAGCAAGATGCATGTGAACTTGAGAGCAGAAAGGCACGTAATTCATATATCTGTTTCTGTGAATCCAGCTTCAGCAGACATAAAGTGCTTCAGGCGCTGGAGAGTTCCTATCACAGTGGCATCCCCATTTCATTTAGATTTGACTTCCATATTTTTTTTGGGGGAAACCCAAAACATTACCACCCCACTCCTGTTTTCTCCTTTATTGGAGAATAGATGTTTTAACTCCTGCAAGGAGTTGTAAAACAGCATTGCTTTCAGAAATCTGAAAAATGTATTGCAGAAGATCTTACTAGTGTCTACTGTTAAAAACTTATGCTGGATTTCTTTGGTAACCCAGATTTCTTGCATTAATGTCTGTTTTATGTTTAAATGTCAACATGCATGGAATGTTTATAAACTTGTTTAAAAAAGGAACTGCAGGACAGCTGTCAGGTGGAATTGGAGTGATTCCCTTAAGTTTTACATGACCTCGCCACTTTGTTTAACAAGGAAAGCTTTGGAATTCAGAAAGTCCGCCGTCTTCCCAAATGATATATGCCACATAAGTGTCCATTCTTGTCCTATGTTTTGGTAGCATTTACATGGGGGATTTTAAAAGGAGAACAGTCTGCAAAAGTGTGTTTGATTGACAAGCGTTGCAGCTTCCTTGTGGGTTTTCGATCATTAACCATAGATTTCCCAACTGGAGTTAACGGCGCAGTGTGCTTACAGCTTTCGGATAATTTCATCCAGATTGTTTGATCTGCATCTAGTTTGCCATCAGTTTAGGAATTACATTCTACAACAGTGGATTTCATGTAATACGGCATTTAGACCAATCATGAGATATTTTTTCCAGTAGTACATTGTGGAAGAATACATATGAAAACAGCAAGTGGAGCTCTTTGGATTCAAAGATTTTATACTATAACTTCCTATGGTATAACCTAAGCTGTTAGTGATCCTTTCTCTTTTCCCTTTCTGATAAAGGGAGCTTTGACTCACAAAAGCTTATACCCTAGGAAATGTTATTGGTCATTAAGGTGCTGGTGGAGTTGAAGTTTGTTTTGCTACTACAGACTAACACAGCTGCCTACCTGAAACTCACTTTTCCCTTGTCTTTCTTACGTGTGGGTTCTGTTTTTGCCATCTTTTAAAAACAGTTCCAATAAGTCGTGGTTACACCCGTTTTTAATAATCCATAGAGGGCAATGTTATGGCATATATGGCATAATCTTGAGAGAGAAGATATTTCAGTACTGCATAACTTAACATATTAATTTATAATTTTAATGGTGGAGATTTTAGTGGTGGAGATACTAGCATGGACGTGACATTCCCGTTCAAATGCGTTGGGTTGAAAGTGATTAACTTTGGTTGGAGCGTGGCTTTATTTGTGTAGTTTCTTGGGTATATGGGAGAGTGTTGGGGGTGATGGTAAAATATTTAGTACTGGAAAATGTAAAAACATACTCTCTGCTAGTGAAGCATAAGTGAACTGCCTGACAAATGAACATATCCCATGTCCCTAAAGCTACACATGAGCAGAATCCTGCAAAAATCAATTGTCTGATAGCTGGAGGACATTGGTTTCCATGCGATTGCATTTGCTGGGTTGACAGAGGTTTCCAAAGCACAGATGTGTGAGATGTTCTAACATAATTACAGATCTCTATGAAAAAAAAATGTAGAAACTAATATTGTGACAAGCCAATCTAACCTAATTTTAAGGAGCTCTCCAAAGCAGGTCTACTCAGAACTAAGTCCCCTTTTATTCGGTGGACCTTACTCCAAGGGTAGTGATTTCAGGATTTCAACCTCAGAGTAGTTTTAGGATGATGAAGGAAGCGGAAATTCAGAAGAATTTTACTTAGAGCACAAGTGTGTGTGTGTGTGTGTGACTCAAAATAACACAGTGCAAAAGCCTTTCAGCTACTGGGCAGAAATGAATATTCATGTCAGGTCAAGCATAAAGATCTAAGACGTGATCAGTTCGCTTTATTTTCGTATTTCCTTCCACTGCATAGGTTACGTTTTGAAGCTGCAGTATCTGGACCATACCGGGGGTTAGGGTTCAGTGAACAAGGAGTCTGAAAGATCAGTGTCTAAAGAAAAAGTGGCATAGTCAGGAAGGATATAGTCAAGATGTACAGTACCAACTGCATTCTTTTTTTCTCTTTTTCTCTCTTTTTGGTAGGCTACACTGGCTGCTTCTCTGGTGCGGCAATATTCAATTAAGAATGCTTGCAGAACTGAATTTATTATTGTTCAGCTTTATACATATCTCATGGTAGTTTCTATTTGTTTTGCTTTGAACAGGCCCAAACAGTTTTTTTTTCTTATACACCAGGCATTCGTAAGCAAAAAACAGGTCATTTTAGCATATAGATTCTGTTGTGGTTCAATAAAGTTGACATGATTTATGTTAGTTTGGTTCTCATTTCCTCCTGTTATGTGTTAGGCTTTTCTTTATCCTTTTCTCTCCCCCCCCCCCCGAACAAGTGTAATGGTTTGCTCTTGCACTGAATATTTTCTTGCATGAAAAGTGTTCAATGGAAAAAAGATGGAAGTTTGTCTCTAAATATGGATTATGCATGGTCTTTTTTTTTTTGTTAGAGTATACTAAAAACCACTTCCAGAGCATAAAACAACTATATGGTATGGTATAAATATCGGTATGCCTCGTGCAGCAATGTTTATTTATTAGTGCTTCTAACCACCAGCTGATTTTTGAGTTTTACTGCTTCAATTCTTTCTTCCAGGACTTTTTTTTGTTTTGCATGTGAAAAAAGGTTTTTTAAAAAACAAAAATAAACAAAACAAAATCAAATAGGAGATAAGATTTATTGATGAATTTCTGCATACAATTCAAACTGTGCACATTTTAGTTGGATGAGTACTTAAGTGGCCACTGAGGTGGGACAAAAAGTACTTTGACCTCCAAATGTACCTGTATCTTGTGACCCAGCCCTACATATTCTGTTGCAGAATTTTTGATGAAGAGGCAATCTTGCAGTTCTCATAGAGGACAGCACAGACTTGTCTTGTCAATATCCCCACCCCACCCCTGCCAAATGCTTTCCTTAGAACCTGACAATCTCTGACCGTCCCTAAGTTCACAGTTAGCTACAAATGCCACCTGGGCAAAAATAGCTAGACATCAGTCACTGTCCTCCATAATCCAGAGTTTTGATGTTTACCTTCAAAGTGCTGCAGGAGAATCTAGTCCGCAGCACAGTGGAACTAGAGTATTTGGGCCCAAACCCGCTTACTTCAGTGGGCCTGGTTCAATTGAAATTCTGCCTAATCATCATGGTTCGCAGTTAGGAGCAATGTTGTGCTCTTGTGTGTTCCTCACTCTCCTTCCTCTTGCATGGATATCCTTTGCATTCTGCCTTTTAGATCTGGAGAGATCTGGTGGTTAGCATTATAACTGGACTGAAGTTTTCATTAATGATAGTACCAGATCCTATTTTATAAGCCTTTTGCTGACTAGAGACTTGAATTGTCATTTGGTTATAACTACCAGTAACAAAGGGAGGGAAGCCCAATCTCATCAGATTTCAGAAGCTAATCAGGATCAGTCCTGGTTTGTACTTAGATGGGAGACCTCCAAGGAAGACTGCAGAGGAAGGCAATGGCAGACCACCTCTGCTTCTCACTTGCCTTGAAAGCCCCTTGCTGGGGTCACGATGAGTTGGCTACAACTTGACGGCACTTTACACACACACACACACACACACACACACACATCATTAAGAAAATTTTTGGTGTAGAGGTAATGCAAACCCATGTTGACTTCTAAAATTTAAAGAGAACAGGGGATTTCCTGCACAAGAGGTAGGATTGCCAGCCTCCAGGTGGGGCCTGGGGATCTCCCGCTTTTACAACTGATCTCCAGCTGACAGAGATCAGCTCCCCTGGAGAAAATGGCTGCTTTGAAGGGTGGACTCTGTGGCACTGTACTATGCCCTCCCCAAACCCTGCCCTCTCCTGGCTCCACCCCCAAAGTCTCCAGGTATTTTCCAACTCAGACCTAGCAACCCTAATAGGAGGGATGGGAAGGAGTATGAGAGCCCACAGGACATTGCTGATCATCATATTTGGTTTGGTGACGAGTCAGTGTTATAGCTGGACCATTGACTTAAGCAGAAGGAATGGTCTGCTAGACTGGCAAATAAATGTACTGGTTCCAGTACCAGGATAGGATCACATGGCACATTGTTC